ACCAATTACAGCAACCCAATAATAGATACTCTCTTTTTTAGACGCGTCGCGTTGGTTATATTTATAGGTGTGTGGAAAGTTTCTCGAAAATTCAGATTACTTAACAATATAAAGGTACACTGGCGTTTACGTACACACATATATTGTTGATTCTTACACTCGAGAATCTTCTATAACTTTAGAGAATAGGCGGAAGTTTCGTCATACATATTTAACAGTATACATTATGTACATTTCTAAATATAAATTTAATATAAACAAACATCGATATTGAAATAAATGTATAATAATAAATCCGTCACAACTCCCTCCTTCGAGAATTCAAAATTGGCGTTAGACATACATTGACAACAATACATTAAATATGATACATTATTCAAAGAATTATACAACTTCAATAATCATGATAGTATACAACACAATCAATACATATAGCCTATGATCATAAAACTACATAGTACGTAAAAATACATCAACATAAATGTTATCAATCCCTTTGACATGAATTACCTCCAAATCATACTTTCGCAATGATAAGCTCCAATTTAACAGTATTCCGTTTTTTTTTCTTTTTTTTATCTTTTTCGTTTTTTTTCTTTCTCTTTTTTGTTTGTTCTTTTTTTTTCAGTAGATATCACATAATGGGTAACAATACTAAGACCATGTCACCAGGACGTGACATTTTACGTTGTTCCGCATTGTTGTCATTAACGTTTTTTATTCTAGTTAAAGATAACTTCAAATTTTCACGAACCACTTCACAAGAACGTAATAGTCTGGACCGAAACTTAGAATCGTAATCCAATAAGTGCATTTCTCTTGGGTCTACACACACTGTATGGCCAAACACCAACTCAAACGGGCTAAACACTAACAACTACTGAACTGACTCACGAGCAGCAAATAATAACAAAATAACTCATTCATCCCAATTCTTCATCATATTTTTCAAGGTAGAATGGAATCTCTCAAGAGCACCTTGCGATTCTGGATGGTACGCACTAGGTTTGATCTGTTTAGCACCGAGTTGATAAACAATTTGTTGAAACAATCCTGACATAAAATTTGATCCCTGATCAGATTAAATTTCTTTGAGTGACAATTATGGACGTGAGGGATCAGATTTACTTGGTGAAGTTCCATTTACTAAAAGTAAAGTGATCAATCACCATGAAAAGGATCCGCAGATCTCTTTACTATTTAAATATGCATTCCCAAAAGATGGACTGGAGAAAGTTCCAAATGATTATTTTTTCAAAAATGGTGTGCTTATGAGGAAATGGAGACCACCAGATGTGCCAGCTTCAGAGGACTGGCCTACTGTTTAAGAAATCGTTGTTCCCAAAGCATATCGTTCTGAAGTATTAGAATTTGCCCATGAACTCCCCGTGGGAGGTCATTTAGGTGTTAACAAAACGTTTGACAAAATTATGAGACATTTCTTTTGGTCAAAAATTAGGCAAGACGTTTCTCAGTTTTGTAAACCATGTCATACCTCTCAGTTGGTCTGAAAACCTTACCAGAAAATTCTGGTCACTCATTTGAAACCTACCCTCGCTTTAAAAGAACCCTTCAGTCGTGTAATTGTGGATTGTGTTGGGACTTTACCAAAAACTCGAACAGGGAATAAATATTTTTTGACTATCATGTGCGCATCCAGTCGATTCCCTGAAGCTATCCCTTTGAGAAATATTTCAGCACCAAAGATGTCTGAGTTTGTGATCAATTTCTTTACTTTTGTTGGCTTACCCACCGAGGTATGGTCAGTAGGACAATCATCCACACGATCCCCGTTCGACCCAAAAATCTCTGAGACAAATATATGATATCGCCCTCTGAATCCATGTTTATCATTTGTTTTTGGCTTAATTTCTTAGCCTGAGCTCGAGTCACAGCACACGAGGAAAACACATCTGGATTCTCCTCAATGAAAACATCATCCTTAGATCAAACAGTAATCGGCTCGCTAACTATTTTAGGTTCGGCAACAACTTTTCCCCCAGCCAAATCGTTTCCCAATAATAATGATACACCCTTATTTGGCATAACAAGTCTTACTCCAACCACAATCGGACCCGAAACTAGGTCTGATGCTAAATAAATGATATGAAGAGGAACACTAACAAAGCCACCCTCAATACTCTGAGCAATAACAGACTCACCAGTGGCAGAACTCGAATCTAAAGGCAATATACCTTCTAACAACAATGACGGAGTCGCCCCAGTATCACGTAGAATACGTATGGGTATGGGATTATTAGTGTAATTTGTCAAAGAAACAGAACCAACAAACAAAAAAGGTCTAAATTCCTCCCTGATTAAATCAGGCTTTATATCAGTGGCCAAATCAACAATATCGGGTGATCTGGTGAAACCACGTCCATACGTGGACACAAACACACTGGGTGTTGCCTCCTTTTCTTTTTTCTCTATCAAACATCAACAATCGGACATAACATGACCAGGTTTTTTACAAAAATGGCAGACAGGCCTTGATTGTTTGAAAGAAGTTTTATCCTGACTGCTAGAAGATTTCGAACTAGAGGAGCTGGATGTTTTAGAAGAATCCTCAACTTTAGTGAATTGAACCGATACAGGTTTTGTTGAGATGATAGGAATTTCTTTTTATGAAAAGTGGATTTATGTGTTAAGTGTAATCATCGGAAAGAGTGGCTGTTTCCTGTAGTGTTTCAACTTTCGTTTCATCTCAGTAAGTTTTGAAGTCATCACGTGCACAACATTTAAATTGCTGAATTGAACATAATTGTCTTAGTTTGTCGAAACTGTTGCCAATATACATAGAATTACATCATCGATCAAAATAAAC